TAATCTCTGCGTTAGGTCTTCACTTGGTTCTCCACACTGACGTAAGATGACTGCTTCAGCGCAAAAAGATAAACACATTGGCAAACTTTAGGTTTTCAAACAGAGAGTGAAGAAAAAAAACAAGCACAGCTTTTCTAGATAACTCATCAGCATCTGAGGGCCGCACTCGGAGGTTTGTGTTTTCTGTTTTTCTCCGGATGTTGATCAGTCGGGTAGCTCATTGGTTTCCTTTTGCTTTGAACTAGCTTGTTAGCTCGATGGCTTTTGGTTTGGTTCCAGGCTTTAATGAGGCATGCTGATGAATGCCAATGAGCGTACAGTGTAAATGTAGTGTGTTGACATATCATTTGACCGCTTTTTGAGATGTCCATCTTAGTTGGTGTTCGGTTATATTACACTGCACAGTGTAGATCTTTTTCAGCATCATTGTTGTGACTAATTATGGAATAATTAAATTAATAATAGCTCAAGTTGGCTAGTTAGTAAAGCAGCTAGACTCATACTGAACTCTACATCCCTGGAACTGCCTCTTACGTTTAGATGAACAGCTTCAGAATGACTTGGGGAAAACACAAAACTTAAAAAAAGGTTCCCATTGAGTTTATTTTTAGAGCTTTGTGCTTTGTAGTGTTCTGTGAGTGCACGCATGAACCAACAGATGGGTTCACCACAGTAGCCTGGATTTTGTCCCTGTAAAACAGTTTAAGAGGTTGTTTTTGTCAATGATCGTGTTTCTCTGTCAAACCACGGCGGAGGCCACCAGGAGTTCGGCTGTTATTTGAGTTTGGAATGCCTTTAAATTCAACCGCAAAGTACTGGCTGCCTAACCACAGCCTCTTTCCCCTTGTCCATTCAGTATGTGCTGCAAATGCCAAGAAATAGAGAGAGAGAGAGCGGAGGTTGAAGTCTCTGCTGTGGAACAACATGTGCCTCTGCAGAGCGTGCACGCAGTCTCTTCTGGCCTGTCTGCAGCTCTTTGCACAGTCGCTGTAAACAGAAAACACTGAAGAAAGCGGACTGACTGGTCTCCTGTTCAAAAAAACAAAGCAAACAGAGAACAGTCACGCAGCCGGGCCTGTCGTGGTGAAACTTGGCCAGCTGGAGTTATGCTTGGCTTGTACACAGAAGCATGAATGAAATTGCGTCTGGAGTATATTTACGTTCACCATCTTTCTTGTGCAGGCCTCTTTGCCCCACATTTATGCTTTGTTGTTTGTTAGCATGTCATTACCTGCCTTCCATCCATCCACTCATGTATCCATCCAGCCATTCATCCATCCATCCATCCATCCATCCATCCATCCGGCCACTCATTTATCATCCATCCACTCATCCATCCATTCATCCATCCATCCATCCACTCATGTATCCGTCCATCCATCCAT